AAGAAACACATCATCAAAACTATGTTGGGCTCCATTTATGTGATTTACACATCTCTAACCTCAAATTCCTAAATGATGACAGTGAGATCTATGAGCTACTTTCCTATTTTTAAGAAAGAAAGATATGTATGGGCTAACTGAAAGGTCAAATTTTGTTGCTTTAGGCTGCATGTTCATCAACTCAATGTGGAGATATGGTAATAAGGTAATATGGTAATGTTTTGACTGGCAAAGCTCTAATATTATAGTTATATATGCCTTTGATTAATAAAAAAGGGAGAGCAATAATTATGACTTTATTAAAAAAAATCCTGACTCAAAATTGCAAACATAGTATCTTAAGATCCTTAATATAATCACAACTGCAAGTCCCTTTGCCATGTAAGGTAACATATTTACAAGATTCAGAAATGTGATGGCCATCATTCTGCCTACCATAGAGGAATATAAGCTTAGAATTAGATGCCAGAATTCCTGAACCAAATCTGAGAAGGGAGCAAGAGTCTCAAATCCTATATGGAAACGTTTACCGAATTCAAGTTTTCAGTGTAGGTCCTTCATTCCTGCTCTCAGCTGGGCCTCCTATACTAGCGTCCGCCATGGTCTCTCTGCTACAGTGAAGTTCCAGCAGAGGCCGGGCTGGAGGACAGGAAGATGGAAGACAGCGAGAGCGGAGTCTAACTGCTCCTCATACAGATCTCTGAGCAATCCTCTTGGCTTTAGCCCCACACCAGCATTCCCTTAGTCAGTGTCTGGTGCTTGAGGTAGTTGGGAGTTCTGCCTATGAGTCTGCTTGCTTCTAGCTCAGATGGTCCCCTCTGTGCCTTAGACTCTGTCTTGATGGCTCAGTCATTTTCCAATGTTCATCTGTTTTCAACTTCCAAAGTTTTGTTGGCATCTCTAAGGCGGTCCTTGTCTATCTACTGTTGTCTTTATATTTGTATGATTGTGTCCCTTTCACCTCAATTCTTTCCTAGTATTTACAGGGAAATAAACGGGTTGCTTGCTCTGCCTTGTTTCCTGGGACCCTGCTTTCCTGCCCTTCCCCAAGGCATTTAATGTGCGTACACAGCTCTGGTCAGGCCTCCAGTACATCTAGGGTTCTCTCGAGGCCATCCAGGCCTTCCCATCAGTGGCTAAGAGTTTTGAATACTTTTAAAAAATATATATATTTTATTGATTTTGTACAGAGAGGAAGGGAGATAGAGAGCTAGAAAGATCGATGAGAGAGTCATCGACCAGCTGCTTCTTGCACACACCCTACTGGGGATATGCCGGCAACCAAGGTACATGCCCTTGACCGGAATCGAACCCGGGACCTTTCAGTCCCCAAGCCAACGTTCTATCCATTGAGCCAAACCGGTCTCGGCTGAATATTTTTCTATTGGTGCCTCAGTTTGGCCACCAGAGCCGTTTTCAAAGATGAAAACATTTGCAAACGAGGCATTATCAGACCACTTTTGAGGGGTAAACAGTTCATGGGCTACGTACCACTCATTTCTCCAGTAATCCTGAGATGGATAAAAGAAGCTTCCAATGGAAAAAGGGAGAAGACAAAGAGTGAGAAAAAACCAGAAACGGGAAGAGGTGGGTGCAGGACAGAAAGGAGAACAATGGGCAAGAGTGGAGAGAGAAGTTGAGTAAGGAAAGGGGTTACTGTCTGCTGTCCTGTCCTAACCCTTTTCAGCCAACACTGTGTACCAGTCACATTAGAAAGAGCTGGAAAGGGTTAATCTCTACACAAAAACCAAAATTATGTACTTAGACCTTTTACAAAGAACTGGACGTTGTGAGAAGATGACTGCTTAAGGCTGATTGATAAATTACTAATTATAATTACTTAAAGTTTTCCGTTCCTCACCTGACAACTTAAGTATTTGATTTATCTGTTGTAGCTATCTGTCCTCCTTCTGGTTTCTGATCTTCCTTACTGAACATAGCTACAGGTCGTGTATTTATCACATATCAGAAGTTTTTATTTATATCTGTCATATGTAAACCTGTAACCTTTCTGTTGTATCACTGCAGTCTGTAAGTCCAGAGTTTTCTATGAGAGAGCTGATTTCGATGGTCCTGCTTTGCTTCTGCTAGTGACCTGACTCCTAGCCCAGTGTGAGCCCCGATTCTAGGTTCCCAGTACACCTGTCCCTCAGAATCCAGGAGCTTCTGTAAACGCCCAAATCTGCAGATGCTCAAGGCCCTTATGTAAGACAGTGTAGTGCAGTATTTGCACTCAGCCTGTGTTTGCCTATAGGTTAACATGTGCTTCATTCCTGTGTTTTCGCCATAGAGTTTGGCAAGTGGCGAATCCAAGTTTTTGCTTTTTGGAACTTTCTGGGATTATTTTTCCAAAATACTTTTGATCCGGGGGTGGTTGAATTCGCAGAAGCGAAGCCTGAGGGTACGGAGGAGCTACTCACTTATTCCCTGTAGCCATGCTCCCTGTTTCCAGTAAAACAGATTTGTATGCTCTAGTGTTGGATGCTATGAACCTGGGGTGATGAGATTGAAGCTGAGGGACAGGAAAAGGGAGAGAGTAGGAAGAAGCTGCTCAGTGAAACCTGTTTCAGAAAGCAGCTTGGTACTGAGAGGCCCCCAGAATGGGTGCTAAGAGGTGAATGCCAGCTGGGAGTGAAGTTGGGACAGGGGGGTGGGGAGGGGCGAGGGATCCTATAATCTGAAAGAGCACCTGAATTAATCTGAACAATAATCAGATTTTAAATCCTAGAATACTTATACTTATGTGATCAGAGGGTTACCTTTCTTATATGGGAACAGAAGGTTAAGTTTGTCTAAGTTTCATTTCTTTGGCCAGTGTACCTGTACACTCCCTTTGATCCCGGAAAGGTGGTAGAGGTGACTTAGCTGAGGACAATGTACAATGTACCCAGCAAGCAAGCAGAACCCTTAAGCATGGTCAAGCCATCATCTCATTGTCTGAAGACCAAGAACAATAGCTGAATTCTGTGGATCTCTAGGGGCTAGCCCTTTCCCATGACCAAGAACAATAGCTGAATTCTGTGGATCTCCAGGAGCTAGCCCTTTCCCACGACCAAGAACAATAGCTGAATTCTGTGGATCTCCAGGGGCTGCACGTAGCAGCACCCTTTCCCAGACTCACCCTAGCCCTTTTCCCTTTGCAATCCTGTCCCCTGGACTTTGCTGTAAGACAGGTTTTGGATGCTTGCAAGCTTCCTGTCTTCTTGGTTGGCTGGCCTCCTCAATAAACGCCTTACACTGTAAGGATTCAACCCTGCCTTCGTTATTGGACACAGCTACAGGTAGCCCGAGTAACAGGAGTGGTCAGGAGCTGGTGGAAAACTGACAGACCTTGAGCTGGACACGGTTGGTGTTCACCCTGCTCAGCTCACCACGCGTGGTGGTGGCCGAGGCACTGGAAGAAACAGTACAGGTGTACTGCTCATGCCCGCGCTGGGGGAAGGATGCTGCCAGGAAGGAGACCTGGTGAAACACATCCACCCCTGGGCTGTTCAGCATTTCTTACTGCTGCAGAGCATGGACCTTGGCACCTTGTTAGTTCCCTGGCATCTGAGGTTTCCAGCCACACTGCACCCAACACCCAGGAGTTTATCTTACCTACAATCATTCTGCAGAATCGTATGAATTATGCATGGTTTAGGAAAGAATGGATGGAAAGGTAATGGTGGCAACATAGACAGGCCATATTTGGGGAAGTTTTAGAGAGTAAGAAAGAGGTGTTTAAGTAGCAGCGTGAAAGTACAGAAGGGCTGGTGAGAGGTGACTTGTGGGCATTTGTTGTCTATGTTTTGAGGGAAGGGGGAATTCTGGGGCAAGGCACCTGGTGTCCAAGAAGTGATGGCCTCTGACATAAGAGAGGAGGGCTTAAGAAAGGAGGACACAGTCTGAGATTGGATGGAGGAGTGAGATCAGCAGTGACTAAGCAAATTGGGGTGTTCTTACACAGTATGACTGCGATCTTCTAAGAGAGGAACTGAGACACCAGCTGGAGGGGCCAAGGTGACGAGAAGGATTGAGGAACTGAGGAGACCTAAGGTCTAGCCCCATCTCTGTGGTGTTTCTGGAAAAGAACCAACAGGATGTGACAAAGATAATGTTCTGGCAGCCCCAAGGTTCTGTAGTGGTTGTTTGTTGGCATGAATTCAGAGATTTATAATGGGTGAGCTTTCTGTGTTTTATTTTGTTTAAAATTTTTTTTATATTGATTACATGTGTCCATCCTCCCCAATTGCCCTCCACCCCATCCTACTCCCATACATGCCCTCAGTTTTCTGTGTTTTTGCATCTTCCTTGAGCAAAGTTTCTTGCCATATGCTATCTCCCAGGGTATTTGCCTCACCCCCTGTACTTCTCCATGCTCCTGCCACTGTAGGGTAGAAAAGGCAGGTGGTCAGATATCTGGAGATAGGCTGGCTTCTTCACTAGGTGGTTATTAACATTTTTGAATCTCAGTTTTGTCTTCTGAAAAAATGGGCATGATGCCTTTCCTCCCTGCCCCAGAAGTTATAAAGATCAAATGAGAGGCTGAAAAGAGGAGAAAGCTTTTAAATCTGCAAAGTACTGCCCTGGCTCAGTGAATAGAGCATTAGCCTGGGGACTGAAGGGTCTTGGATTTGATTTTGATCAAGGGCACCTGCCTGGGTTGTGGACTCGATCTTCCGTGGGGCGTGTGCAGGAGGCAGCCCATCAGTGATTCTCCCTCATCATTGATCTCTCTCTCTCTCTCTCTCTCTCTCTCTCTCTCTCTCTCTCTCTTCCCCCCTTCTCCCATCCCTTCGCATCTGAAATCAATAAAAATATATAAAAAACAAGAGCAAAACAATAACTGCAAAGTACCTTTCTGGGGTGATGTAGCTACTGTAAATACCCCTCCCTTATTCTACTGTCCAACAAGATTGGGGCCTGAGATGTGCAGCCAGAAACACACTTTGAAATTAAATTTATCATTTAAGGTTTGGCTTACTGTTAGATGTTATTATTATTATTTTTTTTTTCTGAAAAAGTATATGGAACGCTTTACGACTTTGCGTGTCATCCTTGCACAGGGGCCATGCTAATCTTCTCTGTATCGTTCGAAGTTTAGTCTATGTGCTGCCGAATCCAGCACCAGTTGGGTGTTATTAACCATAAAGCATTCTGATAGCTTCTTCTTTAAAAAAAAAAAAAAAAAAATTGCTGCTAAGCAAGACAGGCTTTGAAAAATCATTAAAATTGCCCCATGGTTGAGCATAGACCTATGAACCAAGAGGTCACGGTTTGATATCCTGTTAGGGCACATGCCCAGGTTATAGGCTCAATCCCCAGTGTGGGGGCGTGCAGGAGGCAGCCAATCAATGATTCTCTGTCAGCATTGATGTTTCTATCTCTCCCTCTCCTTTCCTTTCTGAAATCAAGAAAAATATATTTTAAAAAATTAAAAATAAATAAAAGTTTAAAAATCATTAACATTAAAATCTTCTGCACCTTCTATATTTTAAATCTCTGTTATCTCCCAACTCCTTACAGTTCTGATCCTTGAAGAGTCTCATAGGGATTTCCCAGGGTCAGAGCTGATTTCAGCAAAAAAATTGAAGTAAGTAATTGTGACGCCTCACGTATGCTATTTATTTCTTGTTTTCCGAGTAATTTTTATGCAAGTTATCTCAATTAGTCCTTACAGCTCTGAGATCAGCAGATGTTATCTTCACCTCACAAATGACATTGAGAAGTTTTTGGCATCACCTTGCGTTTAGAAATGCCATCTCTCATAGATCTCTTAGGATACTTTAGACCTCCAGTCCTGCTGGCCAGGGAAGCCATGGGCAACAGCACAGGCCTCACCTGGGAGCTTGTTGTAAATGCAGAATATCAAGCCCATGGAAGAATTACTTGAGTCAGAATCTCATTTTAACAAGCCCCCAAGGCGATTCATGTGCCCAAGTTTGAGAATCCTGACCTGATACAGGGATTCAAGTGAAATTATTGATGACTTAACATTATCATCTCCAAGAAAAAGAAAGCTCCGTGGTACTTGTTTTTCTAAAGGACTCTTAGAAGAGAAATATCGAGCCCCAAAGAATGTATGGTAGAATTCCAGGCATCGGATCTCTTAGGGAGCTTTCCAGGGCTCTAACAGGGGATCCCATCTCTTCCACTTACACAAGAAGCTGATCTTGTTGGCCCAACAGTGTCATAGAATGAAGCTTTGGAGAGGAAAAGGAAGAAAGAATGATACAAGAAAATAGAAAATGGTACAAATCTAAAATAGTAATTTGTATATTTTCCTTTTTATAAAATATGCAATAGAATCACTTTTATTATATGGGGGATAGCTAGTCAAACAGCACTTAGAAAACAAAACAAAACATATCAACTTGTTAAATAGCATTTTGAGTTCTGTTTTTACCATGATCAATTTCAGAATCACCAGAGACTATTCCACTTCTCTTTTCTACTAGTTAATCATCTTCTAAATATTGCAAGACTAAAACATTGTCTACTTGGCCAAGTGTGTAGGAAAATGGTAAGTGGATTGCCTTTGCAAGGTTGTTCTCCATTCAACCATTTGAAAATATTTCTCTGCAGTGAGTTTGAAGTCTAGTTTGTCAAATTGTTAATAACCTCAGACTTTAATTATAGGTTGACTTCACTCGGTGAGATGAAAAAAGTTTCATCAGTTAGAAATTCTAGGAACATACATTGTAAAAGCTTTAGGGATCATACAATAAGAAGTTATTCTTTTACAAATGGGGAAACTGAGTCCTGGAGAAGGCACATGGCTTGCTCCAGATCATTCTCACAATTGGGGTTATCAGAGGTTTCATCTAAAAAGACTTTTAGTTGAAAAAAAAAGAAGAAAAAAGCCTGATCAAAACTATACATTTCCCAGTGTTCTGATTTTCATGTTATCTCACCTCACCCAGGGCCAACCTAGGAACTAAGATTTTGGATCAAACCTGTCTCCATGGGTTATGTTAACTCACCTCATCAGCAATCTTCTGAACTTCTGGAGTGGCAGTTTTGGTTTCACTTAAACCTCCTTGGGACATTTTGGCTAATTGCTTCTTTGCAGGGCAGGATACTGGAACTGAAATGGTCAGGTAAGCCTGGGGACTCCTGTCTTTAAAGAAAGTGATGTTCACAAGCTCCGCCTACAGAATGCTTTATTTTTCCTAAAGAGCAAAGGCACAAGGGAAATGAGGATGCCTTGAGACAAGTCTTCCTGTTTCCTCAACAGAACAGCCAACAGGAATTCAGAGGAAGGAGGGACTGAGGGTGAATAGTGGGTGTGCACCAGGGTCATGTCTTAGCAGGAGTCACACTCCCTGCATTCTCTCAGGATGGTTCCATCCTGCTGCATCTGAGGAATGGAAATCTGAAGCCACAGCGAGAGTTCCTCAAAAACCTCTTACACAAGTTTTATTTTTTATCAAGACGGAATGTGTAGAATTTACTTGACTTTATAAAGTAAAAAAAAAAAAATCTTTATAAAGAAAATAAAGAACCATGGCTGTATAATCGTATTTTACATTTATTTACATTTCTAGGACTGTTTAAAATATAGAGAAAAACAAAGAATAAAGCAACAAACACTTATAAGCCTGTTAGCCAGAATTCAAACTTAAAAATATATATATATTTTATTTTTTTACAGAGAGGAAGAGAGAGGATAGAAAGTTAGAAACACCTAAGAGAGAATCATTGATCAGCCGCCTCCTTCACCCCCCTCACTGGGGATGTGCCTGCAACCTTGACCGGAATCCAACCTGGGACCCTTCAGTCTGCAGGGACCCTTCAGTCAAACCGGTTTGGGTTGGAATTCAAAGTTTTAACATTTTACTTTCTATCTTGTCTGGTAGTTGTTTTTAAGAAATAAAATATTACAGCACCACCCTGCCTCCCCCAACTACAGTTTGAGTTTGGTATTCTTCTCGCCTATTTTTGTATTTTGACTTAGTATGTTAAAAGAAAATCTACCTAAATCGCATGCTAGACATCCTATATAATAAAATGCTATTATGAAAATTGACCGAACAGCAGAATGACCAGTTGTTATGATGCACAGGGACTACCAGGGGCCAGTTGCTCAACACAGAAGCTGCCCCCTGGTGGTCAGTGCACTCCCACAGGGGGAGCACTGCTCAGCCAGAAACCAGGCTCAGGGCTGGCGAGTGCAGCAGGGAGGCAGGAGCCTCTCTTTCCTCTGCGGCAGTGCTCGGATGTCCAACTGACGGATTGGGCCTGGTCGGACATCCCCCAAGGGCTTCTGGGCTTCAAGAGGGTACAGGCCGGGCTGAGGAACCCTCCTGAGTGCATGAACCTCATGCACTGGGCCTCTGGCATATTGTATAATTTGCTTTTAATACTTAACATGTTTTGTCACTCCATGTTTATACACAGATGAATCTAATTAATTTTTTTAACTTTATTCTATGATAGATCTATCTATCATCTCTACTTGCTCTTTCTGTTATATGGTATTCCATATTTTACATACTTATTCCCTTGTTGATGAAGATTTTGATTGTTTCTAGTTTTTTTAAAAAAATACTTTATTTATTTTTTACAGAGAGGAAGGGAGAGGGGTAGAGAGTTAGAAACATTGATGAGAGAGAAACATAAATCAGCTGACTCCTGCACATTCCTCTCTCTTCCACTTCTACTTCCCCTCTCCTTCCTAAAAAATTCAGTCCAAAATCCATTAGGTAGGGATAAGGAAGGAATTCTATGAACAATTTTATGCCAATAAATTAGATAGTATACGTGAAATGAACAAATTTCTAGAAAGAAACATTATCAAATCAACTCAAGAAGAAATCATCAATCTAAAAAGACCTATAATAATTGAAAGGATCAAATTAGTAATAATAATAATAATAATAATAATAATAAAAATTTTTCACAAAGAAAAGCCCAAGTTCCTATAGCTTCACTGCCGAACTCTACCAAGCATTTAGAGAATTAATACCAATTCTACACAAATTCTTCCAAAAACTAGAAGAGGGAAGAATACTTCTCAACTCATTGTATAAGACCATTATTACTTAGACACAAAAACATCACACAAAAACTATATGCCAATTTCTCTTGTGAACATGAATGCAAAAATCCTCAATAAAACACTAGCAAATCAAAGCCAGTATATAAAAAATAATTACTTAAACCTCCTTGGGACACCAAGACCATATGATATTCATTCTAGGAATGCAAGGTTTGTTTAATATCCCCAAATCAATTAATTATTAATATAATATACTATAGGGATAGACTGAAAAATAAAACCACATGGCTATCTCAACAGGTGCATAATAAAAATTTGACAAAATCTCATGTTCTTTCATGATAAAAAAAATAGAAGTGAATTTTTTAATTTGATAAAGGGCATCTACAAAGACTCCATAGCTAACAAACATCACACTAAATGGTGAAAGACTGGATGCTTTCTCCCGAAGATCAGGAACCACACAAAGATATCCACTCTCATCACTTCTATTTAACTTTGTACTAGAGGCTCTAGCCAGTGCAATTAAGCAAGAAAAGAATACAAAGTATCTAGATTGGAAAGGAAGAAATAAAACTGTCTTTGTGGGTGACATGATCTTGTAGTTTATTGAAAATCCTGAGGATTCTACTAACATACAAGTTCAGCAAGGTTGAAGAATATAAGACCAATATGTAAAAATCAATTGTATTTCTATTTTTGGCAATTAACAAGCCAAAATGAAATTAAGAAAATAATTCCATTTACAATATCATCTGTAAGAATAAAATACTTAGGGAAAAATTTAACAAAATTGGTGCAAAACTTATACTTTGAAGACTATTAAGAATTGTTGAAGGAAATCCCAGAAGAGATAAATAAGTGGGAAAACATCCCATGTTCATGGACTGGAATCTTTAATGTTGTTAGGAGAGCACTAATCCATAAACTAACCTACAAATTCAACATAACCTGTATCAGAATCCTAGTTGACTTCCTTGTAGAAATTTATAAGCTGATTTTAAAATTAGAATGAAATCTCTAAGTATCTGGAAGAACCAAAACATTCTTGAAGAAGAACAGAGTTGGAAGACTCACTTGTTGAGTTCAAAACTCAATACAAAGCAACAGTAATCAAGAAAGTGTGG